AGAGTCCAAATTCAAAACTCCCCACGAAAAAGCCACTGGGAGTATTTTTGTGTTTGTGTGTGTGATTTTTGATGCAGATGGCAACAAAATCAAGGAAGATCTTGATCTAACTATGGCAAGATGAGATGGGACCGAAGACCTCTGGAAGCCTATGAAATGCGACCTGCAACACAGTTCATTTTAAAACAGAGCAAACGGTGTTAAGAAGAAAAAATAAAACCAGTGGATTCCCCTCTTGCTAACAGGGAGGTGCTGGAGATTGATTTATGATGTCATGTCTGATTAGTTCATAATTGTAAAAATCATTCTTTGTAGCTTCTTTCTCCCAGTGGAAAATAATGATGTGCTACACAAAGGGCTCAAAAGAGTTGGAATGCCCCCACCCCTATTTTTCAACTGGCAATTGCTGGTTATGGTCTGGTCTGCTGTCTACATGTACTGCTCGGGAGACTCCTGGAAATCAGAATCATCTCCCTCCAGCTCATGAACATTTGAAAGAATGGTACCTTTCAATTGTTTTCCCACAGGAAATGGCTGGAATGTAATTTTCACAAATACAAAATGACTTCAAGTTTTCTAAATATAAGGGACATCCCACTATAAAAATAACAGCCCCTCCCCACCCTCTCCCACCCCAGAATCTTTCTAATTATAAACTGGTACAACCATTTCAGATTAGTAATGTAAAAGCAGGAAGTAAATATATTATGTACAGGTACCAAACACATCAGCATTTCACACCGCTTGCGTTCACAGGAAAGAAGCTCTTTTATGGGTCTTCCTTCGTGATTTCACGAGAAGCCAGCTGGTAAGTTACGGGTCAGGCAGACCTCTGCTCAGAGCTCCAGACACATGTTCTAGCTAGAGGTGTCTTCTTTGCAAACAGAGCAAGAGTCCACGTCGACATTTTGCAGGAGAAAGGGCTGAAGATCTTCCAGGAGGTCTCAAACTTTTAACTTTTCAGAGTTTGTGACATTCTTTCCTCTTCTGATAAACGTCGACTGAATGTTCAACTAATGAGGAGGAAAACTGTGATGGAAGGCAAATGACAAATTGTGGGAGGAATGGTGACCCAAGCCAAATTAATTTGCTAAAAGAGCAGCAGTATTGTTCCAGCAGAGGGCACCCTGCCCCTTGCAATATCATCCTACAGAACAGTAGGTACCACTGAGGCCAGCACTAATTCAGACTGCTAAGTCCACGCGTCTTCCTTAGCTGCTCTGCTGACTATCAGTACAGGCAACAGTTTGTTATTGTCTTCAAAGAGCAGGATATACTGCCACGGGGCTAGCTCTTACACATGAAAATTCTTTGGCTATTTAAAATCTTCACATTCTCAAAGAGAACAATATTCTGAGTTCAATAAAGCGCTAGATTCGTCTGAAAGTTTTGCAGAAAAGGGGGCCTAGACATTAGACTTTCCAGATGGTGTGGTACTCAGGCCACAAGTCATTTATTTTAGATTTCTAGATTTAGTAAGGTCAGTCAACAGCCTGCAAGAGAAATCCCCTAAAGTTTCATTTAACAATGAACACCCTCCTCCCTTTTATTTGTGAGAACATTAGGAGAAAATTTAGTCAATGGAAGAAACATGTGTCCATTTGGATGGCGATCAGTCTTTGGTTTATACAGCACACATGGTCCTCACATTTCTGTGTCCCCAAGTCCCTCCCTTGAGTATGCAGGACAAGCCCACAGGCATTCTGCCCAGAATGGCTGGGTCACTGAGGCGGCGGCGTGCCCTACACCATGGATTTTCTCTCTTCCTGTGTTCAGAATGCAGCCTCTGAAGAGATGCATTCTCCTGCCTTATCATTATCATCAGTGAATACGTATCAGGTGTTCGCAGAGCCAACAGCTCTGGAGTGAGGGCAAACATCAATAGTAGCACAGGATTAGACCAGCTCTGGTGACAGGGGCTCCTGGAAAAGCCACTTGACTATGAAGCACAGGAGGCAGGGAAGGAGATGTAACTGACCTCTTCCGGGTCTTGTAGAACAAGCAGGTTTTGCAATTAAAAGGTGCACAACCAGGATCTGGACTCACTTTAGTTCTGGGATGGTAACTCAGTGCCATTAAAAGGCTCAAAAGGGACGACTGGCTAAGGATCTCTCCACGCTACCATTCCCATGACGAAGGGTCTGGGGTTGTGAGGTGGGAGGAAAGCAGGGAAAGGAGAGAGGTAAATGGTAATGAGATCTCTGGAGACCCTCATACCTACTTCTCAGAATTCACTTATTTTTCAGGCTGTCTTAATCTTCACAATTATGAGGGTTTCAGCTCATGAA